CAGGTTGCGGAGGTTATGGCTGGTGATGGTTTGACGTTTGGAGGGGTAGGTGTAAGAGGACAAGGAGACGGAGAAGGTGATGAGGTTGTGGTCAGAGAGGGGTTTGTGAGGTTGTGAGGGGTGCAGAGATGAGAGAAAACAAGGTCCAGGGTGTTCCCTTCGGAGTGGGTGGAGGACTTTATGCACTGTGCAAGTGCAAAAGCAGAGGTTAGGTGGAGGAGTTGGGATGTGGCCGGGCTATTGATGTTGGTAAGGATGTTGAAGTCTCCGAGGATGATGGTGGGCAGCTTGGAGGAGAGAAAGAAGGGTAACCAGGAGGAAAAGTCGTCGAGGAAGTGGGATACGGGTCCAGGGGACCAATAGATTACTGCGATCCTCAGGGGGATAGGAGAGAATAGTCGGATGCAGTGGGCCTCAAAGGAGGAGAAGGATAGAGAGGGAGGGTTTGGGAGGACTTGGAAGGTGCTCTGCGGTGACATGAGCATACCAACCCCACCACCTTTTCGACCGCTGGGTCTGGGTGAGTGGGTCCAGGTGAGACCTCCAAAGGAAAGTGCTGCAGGGGAGGTATAGTCGGTGGTTTGGATCCAGGTTTCGGTGATCACCAGAAGGTTGAGGGAGAAGAAGACAAAGAGGTCGTGGATGGCGGTAAGTTTGTTGCAAACCGAACGGGCGTTCAGGAGTGCACACGAAAACGGAGGGGTGGTTTTGGGGAGCAGGGGGACCAGTATTAGGTTGAGGGGGTTGCGGCAGTTCGTGGAAGACAAAGCCTTTTCTGACAACTTTTGTTTACAGGAAAAACCAGTTTTTTTGCTAGAAAATTACTTTGAACCCCCAAACATTATATATTTTTGAAAACAGAGGCCATAAAGAATAAAACAGTGGGTGTTGAAATTTTTTATGTCATAGTATTTGCGAAGCGATTTTTCAAATGCTAATTTTTTGGAAAAATACACTTTTTAGAATTTTAATGACAAAAGCACAATATATTGACAAATGTTTTGATACAATATAAAATATAATGTTATGCCAAGTAAATAGATACCAAACATGACATGCTTTAAAATTGCGCATGCCCGTGCAACGGCAACAAACTACGTAAATTTTTTATATCAATAAGCGACGGTTTAAAAGTCTTTACAGGTCACCACTTTATATTTACACAGGAGGTCTAGTGCTACAATTACTTCTCTTGACCTGACATTTGTGATGATAACTCACATCAATCTCTGTTTACATACAGACATGGGACCAATGCTTGCACCTTTTTTTTGTTGATCACTTTTTTTGTTATTACAGGGAATGTAAAAATCCCCTGTGATATCAATAGACAGTGACAGGTACCCTGGGTGAAATCAGGGGTCTTTTAGACTCTAGATCTCTCCTCTGCCCTTAAAGCATCTGATCACTCCAAAGATAAGTGTAATCAGATGCTTTCCCAATTTAAAAATGGTGTTGTTTATATCATGCTCGTAGCTTCCGTTTTTTTAAGACCATAGAGATGATTGGAGCCATTCCGGACTCCGATCAGCTATATGGTCAGCCGGTGGAACTGCCAGCTGTATTCTTGGGTTCCCCAATTGGACAGGATATATGTAGTAGAGAATATCAGCCTATGATGAATTGGGTCTGTAGACCAATATGACTGCAATTCATTCTTTTTTTGTAATGCCCATGTTGAGGGTTAGGCCCAAAAAAGTTTTGCAAATAGTCTGGCAAGAGCTGAATTTGGGTGTGTGGGGTGGCTATGTATTGTTGTGCATATAAATTGCTTTGGCCCACAATCAATTGATACGAATCTTTCGTGAAAAACAGCAAAGCAGCTAAACACTGAAAGCAAATGGGCCTGATCCTGATAACACTGCATTTTTGGGAACGCTATAATAAGGAGGCACTGGTATAGTTCTTTTCGTGATCAATATATTGATTCGTACAAACACAATAATAGCAATGGGGGTGAGCAGTGACCTATAGCATGAGTGCGATAGTGTACGGGGAATCTAACACTAGCTGAGCCTGGCTGGGAGGGGCGCTAACTGACCATGCTGCTATCTGATGTTGCTAGTTGCAGTAATACAGTGATCAGTGAAACATTCTATATACTGACACTGTACTACTGGCACTGGCTGGGTGACAGGGTGATAAAAGGGTTAATAGGGGCAATCAAAGGGTTAAATGTGCTAATCTACTGCATGTGTGTAAAATGTAGTGCTTTTACATACAGTGTGGTGTTCTTTCTTCTCTCCCTAGACTGACGGGAGGGGGGGGGGCAGTGGGGCACGCACGCACACCCAGGAACAGAAAGCAATATGTTTTTTGTTTTTTTTTTTTTCATTATTTATTTATTTGAATACTTTCATCAGAGTAGTGCAATGTTACCATAGTAACATTGTACTACTCTGGGAGGGTGATCAGGTTTTTTTTTTTTTTTACACTTTGCAATGCAATAAAGATTATTGTTCTGCAATGCAGTGCTTGCTTTGAACTGTCATGAATGAATTAAGTTCATGGCAGTCCAAAATAATAGTGATCTGTGATTGGCTTCAGCTGATCACATGGTACAGGGAGCTGTGATTGGCCCCATGTACCATGTGAGAGCTGTGGGCCAATCACAGCTCACCAGGAAGAGAAGCAAAGCTGTTATGAATCAGAATTGGGGGGAAGCCTGCTGCGCCCCCTTGTGTTAGGACAGGCAGAGCGTCATACCGATACATTGCTTTGCCTGTAGCTACCGCCCATCTGCAGTACATTGCTGGAGGGCGGTCTTTAAGTGGTTCAAAGGTGCCTCAAGATTGTTCATAACTTTAAAGGGTGCTTTGACTGAAAAACACTGATCTATATCTATGTGTTCCATAGCAAAGCAGCACTCTAAAGAAATGCATTGCATTTACAAAGAATATTGTTGGGGGTGTGAAACTGGTACCTAGGAGATATATTTACTACACAAGAAGGACACCCTCACCTAGTCACCTATATATATTTCTTAGAAGCCAGAGATGTGCTGAGCTTGTTGTTTCGTCTTTAGCTTTATTTTGGCACCTCTAATTGTTGCACAAAAAAAGAGCAAGAACAATTTCTATAAGAGAGAAAAAATTGAACTGTTCAACCTACTTTCTCTTCGGATTGCAATCAATATTTTCCTCTGAAAACAGCCAGGCTAGCAGTGACAGGAGAAAAAAAGAAAACTTGTTTTCTGCAATCAATGAGTACTGAACAAATACCAATGTCAACAAAGACAGTACAACACAAGTAGTCTTAACAAGCAGTTTAAAAGATGGAAACAAAAATACTGAAAAGTGTCTTTCATTGAAGAACCCTTCACATAAGCACAAAACGTAGAAACTGGTTTTGTCTAAAAATTTAATTGAATGGTGCTGTTGTAACTCATTTCCTTTATTGATTTTGTACGGGAAGTAAAGCTCTATTAGTTTAATGTGCATCTCAAATCAAAGGATGCTCATTAAACTTAAATCTTAATTAAAGTAAAATTTCCATCAGTAACTGATAGCATTCATAGCAAGGTTTTATGAAGTGCAAATGAAAAGAATCTCAGCACAAACACATGTAAGTGGTAGAATGTAGCATTTTGTGGATTAATATTTTATAGTTAAACATGTATATAAATGTCAACATACAACTCTTCCATAGTCTACAAAAACTTCTATAGGCGTATTCTGGAAATTGAATTTAAGTGGTTGTAAAGGCTCAAGGTTTTTTACCATCATGCATTCTATGCACAGGAGCTGAACTGACCATTTGGAAACTCGGGCACTGCCCGGGGTCAGTAGGGGGCCCCATGAGATGCCCCTGGTACCTTTTTCATAGGCTTTTTTGAGTTTGGACAAGGACACAGGGGGCGCATGATCCCCTATTGCCCGAGGGCCCCATGAGTTGCCAGTCCGCCCCTGTCTATGCATGATGGTTGAAAACCTTCTGGGTGCTTCCCTATTACTTACCTGAGCCCCATCGCAATCCAGCAATGTGCACGAGAGCCTAAATTCCCTAGGAATTCTCCCTCCTCACTGGCTGAGCCAATGGTTCCCGCTTCTGTCAATCACAGCCAGTGAGCCAATAATTAGAGTGGGGGCCAAGCCACGGCTCTGTGTGTGAATAGACATGTAGAGCAGTGCATTACTACTCTGCAGCTAAACAGCTTAGCAAATTACAATTCTCAAAAAGATATTAAAAGCAATGAATGGAAATTAATTTCAAACATTAGCCTTGCTTCATTAAATGGTATTTTCAAGATTGAAACTATACCTGCTATGATTCCCAATCCTCCAAACTAACGTCTTTACCTTGCTAAACCAGTGTTTCTCTCATTAGGATTCTAAGACCATGCAAATAGCTTGTAGATAATACTGGGGGTTTTCCTAATTTGCACATTTTTTAAAAACATTTGTATATAATTATGGCCCGGGCCTTGGTTCCAGAGTTCCTGATGTACTCTTTTCACTTGTTTGAAAGGGCAAACACATACATTTATGCTTCGTTTGGAAATTAGGCATAGCCAAAGGTTAACATAGAGGCCTTTCCCACTTCCACCATACTTCTGTCATCATGGTGTACGTTTATTAAGCAGAAATCATTTATCTCATTTCAGTTCTCTGCAGTTCTCAGGGAAAAATCTTATCCTCTGTCCCCCTGTTTACGAAGCGGAGAACATTTGTTCTCAGAAAGAGAAGAGAGGAGAAGTTTTTCCTCTGAGAACAGCTGAGATCTGTGTAGAAGGGGGAAGGCTGCATGTGATCTCCTGAGATAATTGTGTGATTACAGATCACCTGATATTAACCACCTTCTGCCCGCCATATAGTACAATGACGGACGCAAGGTGGTTCTCTCATTCTGATAGGACATCATATGACGTCCTTCCATTCTCACCGCGCATGTGTGGCTCAGGGAGCGCGCAGCGCGGTAATCGCTGGTGCGCTGTGTCCCTCGGACACAGCGGATCACGGAAAGAGCCGAAGATGTCAGCTCGGTCATGTGATCAGCTGTGTCCAATCACAGCTGATCACATGTAAACACGGAAATGCCGGTTATCGGCATTTCTCTCCTCTCGAGCTGTCACGCTGACAGCTCGAGAGGAGAGGAGAGCCGGTAATCGGCTTTCTGCGGAGGGGACATGTACACTGATCATCAGGGCACTGATGATCAGTGTGCCCTGATGATCAGTGTGGCCCCAGAAGTGCCACCTGTCAGTGTCCATCAGTGCCAGCAGTCAGTGCTCATCAGTGCCACGTGCCAGTGCCCATCAGTGCCACATCAATGCCACATATCAGTGCATACCAGTGCACATCAATGCCACATATCAGTGCCCATCTGAGCTGCCTTTCAGTGTCACCCATCAGTGCCAGTCAGTGCCACCTATCAATGTCAATCAGTGCCACCTATCAGTGCCAGTCATTGTCGCCTATCAGTGTGCATCCGTGCCGCCTATCAGTGTACATCAGTGCCGCCTAACAGTGCCAGTCAATGCCACCTATCAGAGCCAGTCAGTGCTGCCTATCAGTGCCGCCTATCAGTGCCATATATCAGTATTATGTATCAGTGCTGCCTTTCAGTGCCCATCAGTGATGCCTGTCAATGCCCATCAGTGCAACCTACCAGTGCCTCCTCATCAGTGCCAATCAGTGCCACCTATCAGTGTCCATCAGTGCAGCCTATCAGTGCCCATCACTGCAGCCTCATTAGCGCACATCAGTGAAGGAGAAAAATCACTTATTTACAAAATTGTATAACAAAAGCTAAAAAAAAACTTTTTTTTTTTTCAAAATTTTCAGTGGTTTTTGGTTTGTTTAAGAAAAAATAAAAATCCCAGAGGTGATTAAATACCACCAAAAGAAAGCTCTATCTGTCTTAAAAAAATGATAAAAATTTCATATGGGTACAGTGTTGTATGCTAGCTATACAGTACATGCATAGATTTTTTTTCATTCAGCACCTGGGCTGAACAAGAGAGATCTAGTAGATTTTGCTCTGTAGGAAAGCTTGACAAACTTTCAGGTGGAAAATTGTTGGTCAAACAGGTTTCTAAGGCCTTCTGGCAGGGCTATCCACTGCACAAAAATCAAGCTGTGTATGGCCAGTTTAATTGTTGCTTGGCTTTCATTTGATAAAAGGAATGGCAGTAAACCCAGTGAACTCAGTTACAGTCTGAGACCTCTGAGAAGCTCCAAGTGCTCCATAAGTTCCAGAACATATTTATAGAGCTGATTCAAACAAGGTACCCTCACCAATGGACTGCTATTACATTATAAGTAAGCTTTGTTTCTCATTTAGCTTTGTGGCACAACACAGAAACATCCAGTATGACTCGAGGTATCTTTAGACATCAGATGGTCAGATTCCAATCCTATTCATGCCTGGCTTGGTGAGTTTTGGTTTAATGTTATTTTTATTTGAATGTGTGTATAATACATATTGTTTTGTATACTGAACTGTTATACACTGCTCAAAAAAATTAAAATACCACTTTGAAAACACATCAGATTACAATGAGAAAAAATATCATGCTGGATATCCATAATGATATAGACTGGGTAATGTGTTAGGAACGTAAGGATGCCCCATCGTTTGATGGAAATGAAAATTATCAACCTACAGAGGACTGTATTCAAACACACCCTGAAAATGAAAGTGAAAAAATTATGCAGCAGGCTAGTCCATTTTGCTGAAATTTCATTGCAGCAACTCAAAATGGTACTCAATAACTTGTATGGCCCCCGCATGCTTGTATGCATGCCTGACAACATTGGACATGCTCCTAATGAGACAACAGATGGTGTCCTGGGGCAGGAGTTAAAATTTCGAGTCTAGCCGGTCACAAAACTTATTCTCCACCAGTTGCCCCACCCAACCTTGCCCAGGTCCGCCCCAACCACGCCCCCTTAAAGCTTATGAAATTACATTTTTTTTTAGAATAAATAGTCCAAAATAAAAACTGTACACAGTAATGTATATCCCAGCTCCCCTGTACTCCATTATAGTGATGACATGTATACAGTAATGATTACTGTATACATGTCATCACTATAATGGAGTACAGGGGAGCTGGGATATACATTACTGTATACATGGATATACAGGGGAGTACAGGGGAGCTGGGATATACATTACTGTATACATGTCATATCACTATAATGGAGTACAGGGGAGCTGGGATATACATTACTGTATACATGTCATATCACTATAATGGAGTACAGGGGAGCTGGGATATACATTACTGAGTAATGTATATCCCAGCTCCCCTGTACTCCATTATAGTGATAGGACATGTTGTATACAGTACTTACTGTCCCCCCGAGTCCCCCGCGGCAGTGGAGAGGGTGTCTTCTCTCAGCGGAAGGAGAGCGGACCTCTCCTACACCTGTCCCCTCTGCGGAGGTGCTGCAGAAGCCGGAAACCACAAGTTGTAGACCGGAACTCGGCTTCACAATGAGGCTTGGAGTGCAGGTGTAGTCGCTCCATGCTTCATCTGTGCTCACCGCTCGCAGCCGCTCGCCACAGAGGAATTTCTCCTCGCATATGGTGAGTGGCTTTTTCAAGCCCTGTCCTGGGGTATTTTCTTCCAGATCTGGACCAGGTATCACTGAGCTCCTGGACAGTCTGAGGTGCAACATGGTGGCGTTAGATGGACCAAAACATGATATCTCAGAGGTGTTCTATTAGGTTTAGGTCAGGCCAGTGTAGGGTCCGACAATGGCTCCAAGGATTTCATCCCGATACCTAATGGTGGCCAGGGTGCCATTTTCCAGCCTGTAGAGGTCTGCATGTCCCTCCATGGATATGCCTCCCCAGACCATCACTGACCCACCACCAAAATGGTCATGCTGAACAATGTTACAGGCAGCATAACATTCACCATGACTTCTCCAGCCTGTCACATGTGGTCAGGGTGAACCTGCTCTCATCTGTGAAAAAGTAAGTGGTGGACCTGCCAATTCTGGTGTTCAATGGCAAATGCCAATGAAGATCCATGGTGCCGGGCAGTGAGCACAGGGGCCCACTAGAGGATGTCGGGCCCTCTGGCCACCCTCATTATTATTATTATACAGTATTTACATAGTGCCAAAGGGTTTGCTCAGCGCTGTACAAGAGCGAGGGGGACAGAACATGAGACAATACAGTAACAATACAATACACGAGGGGTTCGAGGGCCCTGCTCTTTCGAGCTTACAATCTAGGAGGGAGGGGTTAGCGGTGATCAGGGGCGGACTGATCATTTGGGAACTCGGGCACTGCCCGAGGGTCCGTGGTCTGTAGGGGGCCCCAATAGATGCCCCTGGTACCTTTTATAGGCTTTTTTGGGTGTGATTTGAGTGTGGGCATGGACACAGGGGCCCCATGATCCCCTCTTGCCTGGGGGCCCCATGAGTTGTCAGTCCGCCCCTGGTGGTGATAGTGATAGTGAAGTCTGTTTCTGATTGTTTGCTCAGAGATATTCACACCAGTGGCCTGCCAGAGGTCATTTTGTAGAGCCCTGGCAGTGCTGCACCTGTTGTTAACTTCATTAACCCCAAAGCAGCTGAAACTGATTATCAACCCCCTCTGCTACTTACCTGACCAGATCAATATTCCAGGAGCTTAATTGACTTGATGCTATACTCTGATTTAAAAGTGTTCCGTTAATTTTTTGAGCAGTGTATCTTCCAATTATTCTAACTCCTGCAAAGGAAACTCTGTATTAAATTGTATTCTATTTTGTATGCTTTGCCTGTGTATTGTACACTGCACTCATTGTGCACAGGGCACTAAAAATGTTTTGATTACCTTTGCATTCTTTCAAGTCTTAATTAGAAATTTGCCTGCCTATGTAACGCCCCTTGTTACCATAAAAGTACAATTGAAATATTAATGTGATACCTAATCATGTGTATAAAAAAGCTTCAAATGCTCTGAATAAACAGAACAGTGATTTGGAAAGATGCTGAAAGTACATTTTTGTATCTGTTCCCTACTGCAGTAGGAGTTGCCTATCTATAAAATTTAAGTATTAATTTCCAGAACACTCCCCTCACCTCCTGAAGAAGAGGGGTGTTCCTGCAAAATGTTTTGACAGATTGCCTACCCATGGAAGACATCCTTTCTCCAATTGTGTTCCAAGAATTGAATTGACTGTAGTTACGATATGTTTTGGTGTCTATAATACTATGTGAGGTATCTAAAGGGGAGATTGTTTATGTACACTAGTGCATACGTACCATGCTTTTAACTATTTATGTGATTTTGTTGTTGTAATTATAAAAAAATCAAGAATTTTATATTGTCTGTATATGACCTCAAAAGTCCACCTTCTTTCCTTTCATTTTTTGACCATAAAAGTAGGATGTTGGTGCCTTTGGCAATCCCTTCGCTTGTTACATTATCTTTAGTCCTATTTATGACAGCAGGATCAGTTAATGAAATGTATATCAGAACCTTTAGTTCCTTTGGAAATTGAATAAATGTCTACTGGTCATGGTGGATAAGGATAGTCTATTGTCTTCCTGAGAACAAAAATTACAACCATGGTTGCTTGTACGGTTAAAGTGCATGTTAAAAAAAAAAAAGACTGTTGTTTACTTTATTAATTTTAATTTAGGGACAGCCCACCTCTGTGTCTGTGGAAAGTTTAAACCAACCCAACCTAGAGACACTTGACATTTTGCTACAGTCCTGCAATAATATCTCTACAATTTCTACTAGGCAGTTGTAAAAGATTAAACATTTTCTGGCATGTATGTGTGTATGTATTTATTTATTTACATATTTAATAGATGTGTTTAACAGGGGGATGAGGAAACTTCTCTATGTGAATAATCTAAGGCTCCCACATAATGCCAACATAAACATACCTATATATAAAGAGGCCAATATCTAAAATGAACATCTCGTAACGGCCCCATACAGTACACACATTTTTTATCTTTTTGCCATATGTGGGAAAGTGTGTGTGTCTGCTTTGTACTGTGCTTTTGAAATTAGCTATGAAGGGATCACAAACATAAATATCCTAACTTCAAGAAAAGTATCACAAAATACAAATAATATTATATCACACAAATTTTCCTGTGCAGATTATTTCTAGGTCATACTTAATTTTGTCTTTCTATCTGAACTTTACTTTATATGGTTAGTTCACCTTTACGCACAAAACTGCCTATGCAGATAATGACAAGCTGTACAGCTTTGACTAAAGTTGAATAATGCCCTTGCTATAAGTGTAGGTCTTTTACGTACCTCACCTAACCTAAACTCCTAGGACATTGCTAAGAGAAACGTAGTGTTACTGCACAACTTCACCATCACAGGAGCAAGCTCACAAATGCTGAGCTACAAGCTATTGCATCAAGGTAGAGAGTGCATTTGAGGTGGTTTAAATCAGAGAAGGAGTGCCGGTAAAGGTGAGCAATAACATTAGGAGTCTTTCGCTAACATCCTAGAAGTCAGGCTTCATGAGATACGTAAATGCCCTATACATATAGCAAGGGCATTATTCACCTGTGGTCAAAGCTGCACAGCTTGTTTCTATGTGCAGACACCCTTTACAGTATCGCGTATGTACTCTCCAGCGCCTCAGGATATGCACAGCCAAAAGGGAAGCCAAGGGTACCAGGACAGCGACAACCAAAAGGAAATGTTTCCAGGGGTGCAGCCCTCCTCAGACGGGGAAATCAGCCACTGGATAGAGAGAAAACAGGTGGCGCACACACCTAGTGCATTATCCAAGGTTTATTGTAGGAATTAAATCATAAAA